TTAGTTGAGGGAGCAAATTTCTGAGGCTGTTGTATAAGAACACGCCTCCATCCATCTCCAAAATACACAGGGTGAGAAGATGCATGCCCATATCCTATGCCTTTGCCCAAGGCTTAGGGCAAAAGGGAGTGCAGAGCATTGATGGTTAAGGTAAGATGTGAGCCTCAGGTTACAGAGAGTTCTTCCAGGTATGGGTGGCTATATGAGATGGAATCTTCTGTTGATTTATTAATGACAAGGTTTTTGCTGGTCCAATATTAGGGGTGTACAAGTCTGGTTTCTGGTTACAACCCAACTCAATCTTACTTAAGAAAAAAGTTTTGGTTCATGTAATGAAAGTCCCAGGATTCACTGGGCTTCAGGCCTAGCTAGATCAAGGTGTTAAAATGACATCACTAGAAGTCTGTCTGTATCCATCTCTTAGCTCTGATTTCTTCTTTGTTGTCTTCATTCTTAGACAAGATCATCTCCAATAGTGGAGATGGATCATATTCCACTGGTAACAATGGTGTCTGTCACCAAGTTTGCACTTCACTCTAGTAGTTTGATGACATGGTGAGAAGAGAGAGGGTCCCTCACCCTATAATTCCAATAAAATTCCCAGCATTAACTCTAATTCGATTCAGTTTGGGTGACAGGCCTAGCCCCAAACTAATCGCTTTGGCCAGGAGATTGGAATTTCCTAATTGGCTAAACTGGATCATGTGATCTGGGATTGGGACGAACCCCACCTGAATGACACGGACTGAGACTGGCAGTGAAAATCATTTACCTGCAAAGTGGAGCAAGGGGCGCAGTGAATGAGGGGCAAAGCCAGCAGAGCCATTCCATTAGAGAGATGTGCTAGGCCTGGCGAGGGCAGGCAATGAGAAGGTTCTAGAGGGAAAACTGGCAAGTCCAGCCTGGGGACTGTGGCTTCATCATGATTTCCAACACCGAACCCAGTTCTAGACATGGTCCAACTTCCTCTTGGGTCTGTCTTAAGCTCAGCTAAAACCCCATGGCAGTTGGAAAAGGGAGCAAAGGAATGGGAAGGGTGGGCAGGACAAATGACAGTCAGACCTTCTGGGCCCCTTTGTGGCAAAGAGCCCACATGGCAGAGTTGTGTGAGCCCCCCACCCACCCCACGGCCGCCCAAACCGCCGGCTTGTGAGACATTTGCAGAGATGTTAGCCCCACATAAAAAGTGTGCCACTCGATAATTATGTAAATTAGCTGGCAATTAGATAATGTCACTCACTTTCCCTTTCTTGCTTGGTTCCCACACACCAGACAAGTGCTCTGAGCTTCTGCACCACCTCGGGCCCTCCATGCGGGCTTTGGGGCAAACGACTGGTGAGCAGGGCGGTGGCCTTTGCTCTCCTGGGGCTCAAGAGAGGCTGGTGGTTTGCCAGTGGGTAAGGAGGGCTCCCGGGCCCCCACTTTCCCATTTCTTGAACCCGGCATGCACCCCCACAGGGCTAAAGAAGCTGAAGGAAAATGCCGGTGGCAGTTGGCTAGAGGTTTGTGATATTTGATGTAAGGTCAATTTTAGCTTTGGGTCATTTTGGCAATTTCCCAGAGGCCACTGGAATATCCAAAACCAAGAAAGAAATGGAAGGGCTCTAGCAGAGAGTGTGTGTAGACCATAGGGTGTCAAGTCTAGGTGACCCCGATTCGGAGTGAGCTCTCCTGTGATCAGGTTCTGCCTCGCCTGTGGGACAGAAAGCGTGACTTTCGCCGATCAGCCTTTTTGATCCCCCACAATGCAGGGCAGGGACGTTGGTATCTGCAGTGCTGGTCTGGGCTGGAGGGGAAGGGCGAGGGTCAGGAGGGAGGGGCTTGGCCAGGCGGGAGAGAGTGGCCACCCCAAAGCCGGCTGGGCAGGCGCCATGCTCTTCTCTCAGCCGGGAATGTTCGGGGCAGCACGGTTTTTAATTCAGGGGTTTCCCCAGGCCACTAAGCGTGTGCTGCTTTGCCATGTGGGGTTGTCTGAGGTTGGCATCCAGAGAAGCGTGGGGACTCAGGATTGCTGTTGCTGTGTCAAGTGGGGTCGTGTGGAGGCCACTGCATGGCACAGAATCAAATGATCCACGGGAAAGCTCTTCAGCTTCTGCTCTTACCGTTCATTCTGTCGCAAGTGTTTCCTGAGCTCCCGCTCCAAGAAACGGCCCTGAGGCAGCCCTATGCTGAAGCAGTCGCCGCCTCCAGGGAGCCCCCCACCAAGCAGTCGGGTTGCAGAGCCTGGGCTCTTAATCGCTGTGCTTTACTGTCTCCAGCGCACGTGTCCCCTCTAGTTTGTGAAGCCCATGAGGATGAGATGGTCTGATTCTGCCTTGATCCAGTGGTGCCGGGAATGAATTGCAGCTCAACGAACAGTGGAATTGAAGGGTTTCCTCTCTGCCCTGAGATGCTGCCTTTTGGCTTGGTTGGTGTGCCGCGCCTCATGCAACGATCACATCCTTAGAAACTGTGTCACGTCGCATGACCCAGCTTCCTGTTTTCTACCTCTAGCTTCATGTCTTCCACTCACGCCACTCCAGCAGCACCTGCCTCCTGCTGTTCTTCAAATATACCAGCCTGCTCCAGCCTCGACACTTTTGCATTGACTATTACTTCTGGAACATTCTTGACCCAGATATTTACTCCCCCCTTTCAAGTCTTTTCTTAAATATCACCTTCTCAAAGACGCTGATTTGTGGTGTTTGCCTTTTGTTGTGGTGTGATACTCCTAGCCTAGTTGATTTCATGCTACCAACATGGCATCGACCAGCTCAAAAGTTTCAGAAATTTTAGCAGTTGGTTCTCATGAGCCCATGTGAGTTGGCACCAGGAAGTCCTGTGTCCATGTTCCAGCTGAGCAGCCCTTGAACCACTGGGGGTACCCCTGCCACACTTCAGGGAACACTGCGTGGTTAAAAGCTTCTATAGAACAAAGGCTTTCCTTATGATGGATTTAATCAGCCTCTTGTTGATTGGATTTGTCTGTTCACTGGGAATAGGTGTTTGTTCCTGGTTAAGGAACGGCATCTTCCTCTTCAAAGCAAGGATAATAACTAGCTTTGCAGATGTGGTCATCATAAAAATAGTGGATAGTAACATTCTGATGGAGACCATGGTGAATTATCAAATATGCCGAATAAGCAGCAACTTGCACAGCTCTTAGAAATTACACTCACTGCTCCCTCTGAACAGAGAGCTCAGGTGGGTGGGTCAGAGTCTGCCCTCAGAAACCAGGCCAGATGCTGTTGCATTTCTGACCATTTCTAACCATTAAAAAATACATGTAACATACCCTGGGTCTTTGGAGTTTCTTAACTACTCAGTTGTCATATATTCTGCAGTTTTCATACTTTTTTTGGTTAGTATTTGTTTTTTTAATATATCGCCCTCATTCCGCAGACATACATACAATCACACAGATGCAGGCACACACTAACAGCCCCTCTTTCCATTCCTTACCATTCCAGAAATCAGAAAGGAAGAAACCTAGTACTTATTGGTCACCTGCTATGTATACAGCCTCATACTAGGATCTTCCCATACCCGATCTCATTTAATCCTCTCCTTAATCTTGGAAAGAGGCTATGATTTTCTCTGCTTTACAAATGAGGAAATAGAAGCTCAAATAGGTTGAGAAATTTTCTCAGCGTTCTCTATACAGGAATTAGAAATTTTCTCAAAGTTCCCCATACAGGAACTAGGGTTCAAACTCAGCCTTTTTTTTGAATACCTCGAAGCACATATTTTTTTCTATAAAAACTTTTCCCCAGTATTAGTAAGAGAGTGGGTTGTCTTGTTCATTACTCACCTTCTAATTTATTTGCACTGATTTTTATAAATTTCTTTCAAAAATTTAAGGGTAGGAATCTGTCTTAGGCCTTCTACAAATGGGTTGTCAAATTGAAAAAGAAAAATCTGAAAAAAAAATTAATGTCATTTTCATGTCTTTTAATAGGTAAATAAGTAAAAATTGTGTGTGGGTATTTGTGTAAAATGTTAGTACTTGCCTTAAAATTACATTTTGGCTGTGTAACCAGGTGATATAAATGTTATAAAAATGTGCTGATTTTACACTATTTTTGCATATGGAAAAATGGAATGCATCATTAGGAGTGGGGCTCAAGGTCCTGCAATGGTTCTGGAAGAACCCGGGCCCTTCCTCTTGTCTGAAGCGCTAAGCGCTGTCGGAATCACTAGAGTAGCTTGGCTTGAAGTCAGCACTCCATCAATACTTGTGAAATAGGATGCAATATTTTCCTGATCTGTGGCCCTAATCTTCCTGTTCTCTCCTTCCTCCCTCCCCTTCTTCCCATAGGTCTGTTCTCCGGAGTCCTAAGAGGCGAGTTATGGGCGGCACTGCCTCTGGCCACACCATGAGACCTGAGTCTGCTTCCGCTCTGTCCTGGGCCCTGCTTTGTACGAGCACTGGGCGCCTGGCTGGCCCCCTCCCCGCGACCCGCGGCTGCTAGGAGGTAGAACTTCAGGACTGGTCCTTGGCTTTCTACCTTTCACCTGCTCACCTCGCTGCACACGCACACCTCCTCCTGTGCAGCGCCCCCAATCCCAGCCCCTTCCCTGGCCTCCCTGGCTGGGAGTGCTCGGGGGTCCCTCGGGAGGAGCGTGACGCTGAAGGCTTCCTCCCACCCTCACGCGCCTTCTCCTCCTCGAATCAAGGCCTCCGGATCCACATGGATAGCTGAGATCTTTTCTTGGAGAAAGACACTTTTCTCTTCGCTCAAGCCCCTCACTTTCCCACCTGATTTTCCCCCTCTTCCGCTGGCCTTGTCTTTTTCCTCTGCCTCTTTGTTAGATTTCTTGCTTGTGTGCCCAGCTGGCGCTCTTTCACTTTTCTCCTGCCCCCTCCTCGGTATTTGTGTGTGTGCCTCCTCCCTCCTGTGTGCTCTCTCTCCCCTGTCTCTGTCTTTTCTTGCTCTTGCCCTTCCACTGCCGAGGGAGATCCTCCCCGAGGGCTGTTCCCTGGCCTGTCTGCTCCTCCGGGCTCTGTCCCAGTAGCCATGATGAGCTTCACCCTCCCCTCGATTTTCTTCACCCTGAAGGTGAGCATTGTGCTGGGGTCCCTGCTGGGCCTCTGCCTGGGCCTTGAGTTCATGGGTCTCCCCAACCAGTGGGCCCGCTACCTCCGCTGGGACGCCAGCACGCGCAGCGACCTGAGCTTCCAGTTCAAGACCAACGTCTCCACGGGGCTGCTCCTCTACCTGGATGATGGCGGTGTCTGTGATTTCCTCTGCCTCTCCCTGGTGGATGGCCGTGTTCAGCTCCGCTTCAGCATGGACTGCGCCGAGACCGCCGTGTTGTCCAACAAACAGGTGAACGACAGCAGCTGGCACTTCCTCATGGTGAGCCGTGACCGCCTGCGCACAGTGCTGATGCTTGATGGCGAGGGCCAGTCTGGGGAGCTGCAGGCCCAGCGGCCCCACATGGATGTGGTCAGTGACTTGTTTCTCGGTGGAGTTCCCGCTGACATACGACCTTCTGCCCTGACCCTTGATGGAGTACAGGCCATGCCCGGCTTCACAGGATTAATCCTGGATCTCAAGTATGGCAACTCGGAGCCTCGGCTTCTGGGGAGCCAGGGTGTCCGGTTGGATGCCGAGGGACCCTGCAGTGAGCGTCCCTGTGAAAATGGTGGGATCTGCTTTCTCCTGGATGGCCACCCCACCTGTGACTGTTCTACCACTGGCTATGGTGGCAAGCTCTGCTCGGAAGGTAAGGCCCTCTCCCCATCCCTCTCTTGCTAGAGACCCGCCTACTGGATGGGGTGAGGGCCAAGATTCCTGATAGGAACCAGCTCCATAGTGAGAGTATCTTTAGCCACATGCTAGATAATTGGGCCCCTTTCCCTGAGGAGGTGGTGGAAATCCTTTGCTTGCTCTCAATGGAAAATCTGTCAGATCTCAGCAGGAAAAGAATTCTGACTACTGAACCATGGGCTCTGTACTCAACTCAAAGGGTCATATGGGGTCAACTGAAGAGTCTGTGCCCCAGCTTGGTCCCTTCCACTGCAGCACAGTTTAGAGGGGTCAGCAGAGGGCAGATGGAAATTGGCAAAGTGGCTTTCTTTGTCCCTCTTGACCCCTTGAGACATAGACCCTTAGGGGTGGATGGGGAACTCTCCATCACTTCCTCCTTAAATTGCCAGCACAAGGAACACCTGTGCCAAGAAGAATAACGGTGGGAGGATTGCAGGGCACACACTTGGCCCTGCTGTAAACCCAGTCCTTTCACTGTGCCCCTCCCCCTCAACCCTCTGGGAGACTTCTGGAGGGTGGAGGAGGCTTCTGGGCAAGGACCTTCTTGCCTCTTTGTTCTAGCAATGGGGACTTTCCACAAGGGTCCTCTTTAGAAGTGGTTCCCTCTCCTGTCCTCTTCATATACTGAGAACATTGAGAAGAGGCATGCAGATTGCTTGGAGCCTTGTTCAGCCAAGCCTCCAAGGCAGCTGACAGTGCTCAGTGGAGACTGGAGAGCCTATCAAGTTCAAAGACGACTTCCCAGAGGTAAGGAGGGACTCATGCACAAAGGCTTAGGCTGCTCTTCCTTGTTTACCAAATTCTGACTGCTCAAGATTAGATCTGAGAGAAGTGGCCCAGGCTGTAATCTGACAAATACTTAGAATCCAGACTCCTGGCCTCCTGGACTCACTAAAGGCTCAGATTTGAGTAGGAGGAACTGTTGAAGTGAGAAAGTGTGAGAACTGACCATACGGGCACACACATGTTGGGAGGTTAGGATGACACGAGGCAAGGAAGTTAGATTTCTTCCTGTCCTTTTTGGGTAAAGCCCTAGATTCTTCTAGAGAAGTTTGGTGTTACCCCCCTATACTGGTCTCTTCATGGAGGTGGTGGTGTGGTATAGGGTAGAACAGTGGTTCTTAACCTTGGTCGCACAGTAGGATTACCAGGGGAGATTTAAAAACTGCCAGGCCACACCCCTGGCTAGTTAAATCAGAATCTCTGGGGGTGGGGTCCAAGCATCTGTATGTTTTTAAAGCTCCCCACATAATTCCAATGTGTGATCAAGGTCAAGAGCATCCGGTACAGGGTCAAGGGCGATCAGATGGGTGGGGCCAGATGAGTGTCTTCCCACTGATTCCCAGGATCTCTTCATTCAGGTAAGGCCCCACTGCAGGTGTTCCTTAAACATTTTTCAGAACAGCCCAATCCCTAAATCAGGTGTGGTTGATGTGAACTTTAGCTACCAGTAGCTATTTAAATTTTTTTTTTTTTAAATCAAAACAAAATTTATTTCCCAGGTGGGACCTGCTGGAGACTAAGCCACGTTGGAGGTCTTGCTGGAGGCCTGGTTGTGGGTCGTGTTTGCGCTATTGCGGGAGTGTTGCCTGGATCTCCACTTCTTCCCTCCCCTGGATGGGGCACCATATCCACCTCCCTTCCTGGGGGTGGGCTGTCAGAGAGGGAGATGCCAGACATATATATTGTCCTTTTATGGCTTCTGTTTTCCTCCACTGAACCCACTGGAAAAAGGGGTGGGGAAGTGGGGCAGAGGCAACCCCAATTTAGAAGAACACTTTGGGAATGTGGTTATTGAAGTGCTTCTCACAAGCAGGTGCCTTCTGGAGCTGACTGCTGTTCCAAAGCTTCTTGGCTTTGGAGAAAGTTCTGCCTGAAGACGCTGACATGATCATTTGTTTTCTCATTCGCCCAAAGGATCTGTTCTGTTCTCAGAACTTGCATTGAAAGCTGGCATTCTTCCTTTCTAGGGACCAGGGTGTTTGCAAGTGTGTTGTTAACTCGCTGATTATCCCTGATTGCATTTTTTGTGTTTAAAAAGAACTCATTTCCTTGGGGCAGGTTTGGATCAGCACTTTTCTGCAGGAAAAAAATCTCTGTACTGTATATGTATACAGTTTGTCTTTTCTCTTCTCTCTCTCTCTCTCTCTCTCTCTCTTTTTGTGGGGGGGGTGTGTGTCCCAGTCTCCAGTGGAATTTCTTCAGAGCAGATTGTATGCAGTTGAATTTTTAATAGCTAAATGCAATATATATATATATTTTAATATTTTTTTCCTATAAGGTTCAGATCATCTTCTGGCTATGGATTGATACCTCTATCTATAAAAGGCAAACACACAGCATAACTGTTTATTCTCCTGATACACAGAGTAAACAAACTCTGTTGTAACAGTAACACTTGGCTGGCTTGGAACAGAGCAGGGCAGAGGTTGAGGTGAGGGTGGATGTTGGGAGAGGTAACAGAATTTGCTGTTGATAAATTACCTGTTGATCCCGGTAATTGTCATCATGTCTAGTCAATCACAAAAAACGCACCACAGACTGTTAGAAAATATCCGTTGCCTCCACACATAGTTAATTTTTAGAGAGTAAGTGGGAAAAACTCACCTGTCAAATGTTAAGGGGAAAGAAATCACAGCAGCTGCTAAGTGTCAAGCAGATCTGCACAAAAGACAAATATCTGAAGCAAATCCCTGCCCATTTTCCTGAAGATAATGTGGCGAAGTGGGCGGTGAGAATGCGCCCATTCCCCCTGCTCCCCTTGCATTGCGTATGTCACGCAACTGAAACCAGGGACTTATTCCCAGCAGTCGGTCCTGCGCACTAAGAACCTGATTGTCCCAATTTGCAGGAGAGGCCCTGCCATTTGATGTGTGAGGGCTTGCACCCGGCAAGGAAGGTTCATTTTATACTTTGTGCTTTAGCCATTCCAAGAGCAGGGAGCACTGTGAGGACTCCTGCAGCTTCAGATAGATGTGGCTGGGCTTGTCGGAGGCACCTGTGGTCCATTAGCTCCTAGCCCTCCTGTGGTGCTGCTGTTTGCTCAGCCTGTCTGGCTCTCCACACCTTGATGGCTCCAAAATGTCTTCCTGCTTCACCCCAGGGAGAATGTGTAGATGAGCCCATCTCTCTTATATGCTTTTCGATATTTTGATTCCCTGTTGGGTATCTTCCTAGGTAAGACCCAAAAGACACAGGAGATAGTTGCTGTGGGAAAGTTGGCCCTAGAAGTAAGAGGTAATGGACACAGTTATGTTCTCCTTCATTTGGTGAAGAACTAGCAGCTCAGGCTGCAGACTGAATTACATACAGGCTACTTGGGAAAACTTCATTACGAGATTCCCAACCTGATTAATAGTCACAGTGAACAGTAGAGCGCATTATGGACAGAGAACAGGTCCCAGATTTTTACTTCTAGGTATTATGTTTGGTGGTCAACCAGTCTTGTTAATGTTGATATTTAATTTTGTCTTTTTAGTAATGGTCTTGGAGGACTGAAGTGCAGATAACTCAAAATAATGTTAAAATGATGCATATCTGGTTTGGAATAGAGCCGAGCAATGGCCTAGCATTTTTACCTGGCTTTTGTTTGGCTCAGCCTGTCCTGTTACGGGCAGGCTTGAAGCTCAGTGGCTAATGAAGAGGTATCCTCAGCTCCCTCTAGGGAACAGTCCCCTCATGGGTTATTGAGAATTTGACATTACCTTGAAATGAGTTAAAACTTGATTGTTTATTTTAAAAACGTTCTTGGTCATGAATGTACATGCATTGAATTTCTCAACAACCTTACGGTTGTGAAGAATTGTCTCACTGCCAAGGTGTATAAATTTCAGTACCAGTTTCCCCGAAGAGTTCAATTAGCATGAAGTCACCCTGTGGCAGTTAGGGTGGAGCCAGGGAATGATGGAGAAGGTTTCACAGATTGATCTCTCTTCCCCAACTACCTGTGTGACATGCCATTCATGTGATCCCATTTTTAGGTTGACTCAGTAAAAAGGCATGAAGTCCTAGTCCACTGGCAAAGGAAAAGTTGGTTCTTTGTCTGCTATCTTTTCCTGCTGACTTGGGTAGGTGCCCAGACCGGAAGCTCCTTGTCTTGAGCTTAGCTGTTGCGTTTTCAAGTGCTGGGATCCCATAGTGAATGTAGTGGTGGGTGTTGGTGGTAGGAACCAGATCCTTAATATAGACACATTGTTGTGTGGTCCCCGGGAGTGACCATCCCCTCTCGCTCCTGCTGTCTGAAGCTGAGATCCTACTTAGGTAGGTTTGATTGATGGCTCCACACCACTGTGTGGCTGTCGTATGGCTTCCTGAGAGTAAATTTCAATTACTTTTCTTTTTGTTGAGAATTCTGTAGCCTTGCCCCATCTTGCAAAGCCAGAACTAGGATGGAATGGCACATACTAAGAGGGGGCTGCTTACCCCTGCGCATCTACTGAGGTCCAAAGACATCAGATGCTGTAGTTAAGGGACCAGTGATTGCCCGGGTTGGGTCCTCCTGTTTGGGGCACTTGTGTAAAAACACATTCATCTGCCCCTCCTCCCACCAGTGCTCATGCTGCTTGCGTTGCAACATGGCATTGTTCCTAATCTGTGTCAACTCTGAATGGCCTTGGGAAGGGGCAGGGAGTGCAGGGAACTGGTGAGTAATCAGAGAGGAAAGAATAATCTTTTTCCAAATCCTCCCTGGTGTGGAGAAGGTAGCCCAGTAGCAAGACCCTAAAATGTACACAAAGGAGGAAATGCTGCTTCTGAGAGTTGATTCCCCACCTACCATTCAGGCTTTCGATGGGTTCAGCCCCGACTCTCTAGCAGCCCAGCCAGTCAGCAGGGGCTGTCGCTAAACGGAGGCTGAATAGGGGTCTGATTGCTCCTTTTTCCTCCTCTCCTCCTGATTACCAAGTGAGATTTCCTGGGTATACTGTATGCTAAATGGCAGAGCAGCCGCCTGCCACTCGCTACAATTATCCCTCTTTTAACTGCTGAGGCAAGAGCAATTTTTTTTAAATCTCCCCCCTCCCATAATATCTCTGCCTTCTTTAAAGACATAAGACCCTTCTTGCATGTCCCCCCTTCAGTGGGGTGAGAGCAGCCTTCTCCCTTTGCAGAAACTGCATACCAGCTGCAGGCTGCAAAGAGGGTGGGCAATGGGTAACGCTTTGGTCCAGATTCTGCAAGGTTGAGGGTCAGGCAGGCATTTTGCCAGGAGTCTTGGAGTGGCATGTGAACTTGCATTTGCATTTGGTAATGAGATACCACAGGCCCAACGCTGGGGGCTAATTATTTTCCAGACCCCTATCTCCCTTTGCAGGCTGTTCCAGAAAGATGGTTTCCAGTTCCTGGGACAGCTGCCCATCAGCTGGGTCCTCTCTCTCCTTCACAGGGCAGAAGAGGTGGGGTGTGGGTTGCAAGCTGTGCTTGGGGGATGGGACCAATGTACCCCTCCTCCCATGGCCCTACAATCACTGGCTCTGCAGTGTAGGTCCATAGCAGTGACACTCCAGAGGTGGAACTGCAGTGAGGGAGGCTTTGGGGGCAGGGCTCTGAAGTTTGGGTGCCCTTCCTTAGACAAAATAATAATATTATTAGCATTGCTATTATTGAATACCACTCTGGGCCTGACATTCTAGATGCTTTTTATATTCATTGGCTCCTCTAATTCTGACAAGACTCCTATGAGGTTGATATCATTCACCAGCTCCATTTTACAGATGAGGAAACTGAGGTGCAGAGGAATTTGGAACCCTAGCACAGTTTAGCATAATGGTTAAGAGTATGTCTGTTGGAGTGAAAATGATCTGGGTATAAATTTGGATTTGTCCATTTACACATTGTATGTCTTTGGAGACAGTTTTTGAAGCTTCAGTATTTTCATGAATAATAATGGAATATAATAATAACAATAGCTAATAATGATAGAACACTTACTCCATGCCCACCCTGTTTTAACTGCATTAGCTCTTGTAACCCTCACAACCACTCTTGACATACTATGATTATTCTTGTTTTGTAGATAAGGAAACTGAGGGACAAGAGGTTAAATAACTCATGCAAAATCACACGGGTAATAAGAGGCAAAGCTGGGATTTGTGTGTAGGCAGCCTGGCTTCAGAGCCCACTCTTTTGACTACTGTGCTATCTTGCCTCTCAGCAAATAGGGATAATAAGAAGTCATACAGTATGGAGTTGTTGAGAACATTAAATGAGATAAAGCATATAACGTTATTTGCATAGTCTCCAGGAAAGAGCAAGTTCTGACTCTGGGCTATTGGCCCGTGTAAGAACACGCCGCACATCAGTTTGGTTTCATGGAAGATTTGATGCTTCCCTTTCGGCTACACCTACCTCCCGCATTTTTCTTTATCCCAGTTTGAAAGGTGGCAGAAATAAAAGAAGGGAATTTCAGAAGTGTATAGAATCCAATTTCATTGCCACTTTCTTCTGCCCAAAAGTGTGTGGCTGCTGACAATGGTTGTGAAGGTTGGATGGTATTCAGAGCCCTCTGCCTGCAAACATGTGGTTTTCTGGCCCTCCCAGCATCCCAGTGAGGCAGGTGGGGCAGCCTTACCACCCCACTGAATAAGTAAGGAGACCCAGACCTTGAACTTGTTGTGGGTAGGGGATATGAGGGCAATCTTGGATGCTGCTTTCTTGGCAGATATCTCTGGGACCTGAGAGCCCAGACCCCCAACACAGCATTTTACCTCTGCTCACAAGCTCCCTCACTGAGCACAAATGGCCTTGTCTCCATCAGGAAGTGGAGCACTGCCTCCCTGGATGGGATGATAAGCAAAATGTCAAGCTCCTGGTGCAGGAGATTATCAGCTTGGCCTGTCCCGGGGGCCTTGTTTCTCCCAGCCAGAGAGAGAGGGACTAGGAAAGAGAATGAAATGAATGAGCAAGAGTACAGAATGCAATTCCCAGCCTCAAGACCCTGGTTTTCAGTGAAGTGACTGGGATTGGACCCAGTTGGAGCACAGCTAAGCCCACACCGGAGCACCGCTGGGCAGGAGCACCGCTGGGCAGGACCAGGACAGCCTCTTCAGACTTACCTTTGGTTTCCCAGGTACCAGGAAGCGCCTAGCACCTCACTCCGGGTTGGTGGTAAAAGACGGAGTTCCTGGACTCCCTTGTCAGATTCCTTCTACATCTCCTGCTGCCTTCTGCTTCTCTACACATAGAACAAAACCAAACTCCCTGTCTCTGTCTTTCTTCTTTTCTTTTCCTTTGTGTGTGTGGGAGGGGAGATGATTACAGAGGTGGATATACCGTGCAACTAAACCTTTCCTGTATCCTCAGTTGCATAAGCCCCTTCCTAGGCCCCATACCTAATTTTGCATTTACAATTTGGTTTGTTTTTTCTTAAGGAACTCCCCTCCCCACCACCAAATATCATAAGCTTCGGGCCCCACCTCTGTGGATCTACCTCTGTGAAGAGACTTGTTGCTGTCCGGTGACAGCAATGTTGCTCCGGGTGTATGTGTGATTTTCCTGCAACCAATGACCCTTCATCACAGACACATTTTCCACGTCACACTTCACAGGGTGGAAGAGTCATGGCCAGGGAGTGTCAGAGGGGGCAGGGCATATAGGAATATCATTTGAGAAGGTGTGGTGGGAGAAGGAGACATCTAGGATACCCTATGAGTAAAGGGAGGGAATGTTTGGCAATATTTGCTGTAGATTTAGAGGAACAAGCTGGCATTTAAACAGAGGGATAACTCCAGTCATCCTCCTGAGAATTCCCCAGCTGAAGTTGGGATGTTTGGTTTGCTGTGGCTCATTGGGAGGCTGTGTTGCAGGTGTCAGACTGAGGCTGGCAGAGGAGAAGGACAAAGCGTGGCTCTGCAGGCCTGTCTCCCGTGATCTATTTGGGAGCTGACATTGCCAGTGGGTTGTCATTATTGCTGTTGTTCTCCAGAAATTGATGTCTTTGGGTGACCTATTTAAAAGCAATGCGGGGCCCCCTGTAAATGTGTCATTGTCTATATCTGCTCTCAAACCTCAACTGCTATCCACAGTGTTCCTAAATAATATGTTTTCCAAAGTTGTTTTTTTGTTCCCAACCCTGGAACCAGTACCAGTAGCTTTTAAAAACAAATTGACTTCATATTTGTCTGGTGAAACTATCCAGTTCCACTCTGTGACAAAACTTACTTTGTATCTAGTCCTAGAAATTGTGAATGCTTTCAGTTCCTTTGGGGGAAACCACTGCACTATACAAAGGTATGCAAGGGCCTGTGGAAGCTGGAAATGGAAGACAGGCAGGGACATGAACTGCAGGCAATGTGAAGCTCCCTGGTTCAAGTTTTCTAGCTGTGAAATGCATTTAGGATACTTTTGGTTTTACTGAGATTCTTATTTAAGTACAGTGTCTTTGTAGCTAAGAAAATTACTCTGGGGAGCTTTTCCCTCAAGTTTCTCGATGAGATGCTATTCATCTGATCCTCTCCTGACACTTCTGCATTTGATCTGCCAGTTTGGTTCTCCTGAAGTTG